TTCTTTTTTCTTTTTGCACGTAAAGGTCTAAATTTCTTATAACCCAGATGGACAAAGGTATGAGTGAGCTGGGAAGAAAATGCCTGCCTCTCTTCTGCAGAACTGCAACCATTCCTCTGAGCCACTGTCAAGCTTCATGAAGTCCATTTCTTCAATGAAAAGAACAGAGACATTGTGGCAAAGGAGTTTAGATGCTAATACACCCAGACACACAGACACCCAGATACACAGACACCCAGACACACACACACACACACACATGCGCGCGCGCACGCACGCACGCACACACACACACACACACACACACACACACACACACACACGAGACACAAGAAACACATAGAGACACAGCAACACATAGAGAGACACAGACAGATGCATATACATAGATTTATACACACAGAGAGAGAAACACACACATATGTCCACACACAGTGTGCCTTTCTTCTGCTCAAAAAGAAAATAAAAAACAAATCTAAGGGTTCCTTGGGCTTGTGATCCCTAATTCATGGATTTATCCCCTGGATTTGGGGCATAACAGATTGGAGTCCTTCATTCAAGGAGCAGATGGCTCAATCTGCTGCTGTAAGTGAACGTCACAATGGACAGCCACAGTGGTGTGCAGAGATATTACACTACCTGTAACACTAGCTTGTAGTCCTGCCTGCACTACAGGAGCTTGAGCCCTGGATGGGGTCCCTTTGCAATGTAGAAGAAATGCCATCTCCCTGACTTTGTATCTCACACATAAGTCTTTAAGACAGCAGAACAGGGCCTGATGAACCCTGGGCCACTTTAACAGGACCTCCTGTCAGAGGAGAAGACCATGCTGCAGGAAGGACGGCTCACTAAACTTAGCCAAATGAACATTTTGGAGATTGGAACCTTTTTTTTTCCTCCAGCAAAAGTCAAGATAAAAAGACAAGAAGTGCCTGCAGACGGTAAGCTTGATCTTTCTTATAGGGCAGAAGAAGGAAATGACTACAGCTTTCAAAGCAGAAGTCTAACCCTAACCTAAATGGATTTCTCCAGATGTGTTTGTAGCAGACTTGAACTCAAAGGTGAAATGCATAGGAGCCCAGGCGGCATTCTCTGCATGTTTGACTAAAACTCCCATTTTAAAAATAGCCATTTTAAAGCTTTCAAATGAGGTGTGTGTACTTTTCGTGAACAACAATTAAATTCTAAATAATCAGTCTGAGAGAATCAATTCCTAAAGTAGAAATACAGCACATGAACGTGGATGTTGCTATCACAGTGCAAAGAATCCATTTACCATACTAACAGCAGAAGAGAATCTTAAGAAAAATAAGATAAATGATCATAGAGTATTGTTTCCTTCCTTCATTTTTTTTTTTTTAAATATAGGATTGTGTCAGGAACAAATGATGTAGCAAAATGAAGTAGGTACTTTCCTTTTGACAAGAAGGAAAAGAGAGAAGACTTTTCACCTGGAAGTTATTAAGTAACATATTCAGGATTTTGAAGTCATAAGGTTTGGCTTTGGATACTGTCTTGTTCTATTTCTTTAGTCAAATATGCACCATGGTCAGGTAATCTTTAAGATGGTAGCAATATCACCATGAAAATACTAGCAAAAAAAAAAAAAAGAAGAAGAAGAAGAAGAAGCACAGATAAGACTCTGCAGTGATGTAGCTAACACCCATTAGAAGAACAGAAGGCATTAGACCAACAGAAGTAGAGTCTTGTGATCCTGCTGGTGGATGTAGTGAGAGATGGAAAGGATAGCAGGTAGGGGACATTTACAAAGTGTTTAAATAGTATTGCCATGTACAGTTACATTGTTATAACAATTTGAAAATGTATCCGCCAAATTTCCTTTAGTTAGGTCTTGCAAAAAAAAAAAAAAAAAAAAAAAAAAATCCTGTTAAGTCTCTGTAATTAAACACTTGCCACAGCCCCCTTGCAGGACAAATGCAGTCCTGGGTAGCTCTGCATATGTAAGCATCTCAATTACTGAGTTTCATGCATCCTGTACTATTTAAAAGGAAATTAATTTGCCCTGACATTTTTATCACTGGTTTAAATATCCTCATCTTAAAATATTACAGATTTTAAAAGGACTCTTCCTTCGAAAGCCCACCTTAGGGTCCTTCCTCCCACTCACTACGTGCCCGTGCCTCAAGGCAAAACAAAGGTGTGGGGGGTGAGGGGGTGGGGTGGGGGTGAGGGGGTGAGGGGGTGGGGTGGGGGGGTGAGGGGGTGGGGTGGGGGTGGGAGTGAGGGGGTGGGGTGGGGATGAGGGGGGGTGGGGATGTGTAAGAAGTACTCCATTGAACTGAATGTTTCCCTCCTGACTCCCTCCTCTTAATGAACAGAAAAGAAAAAATACTTAGCATTTGATCAATAAAATCACCCAGAGTCTGAATCCCGACCAAGAGCAAAGCTGTCTTCACTTAAGAAGAAAACGGAGAAGTCCGATGTGCTGTTTATTTCCCTTTGAGAAACGAGCAGCAAGCCTAGTTAGAGCCCTCCCCCCCCCCTCGCTCCCCGCTCCCCTCCCCCCAGGAGCTGTCTCCACCACCTCCTTCCTTCCTAACCGCTCTAGCAAACTAATTCCAAAGCGCCTCTATCCAGCCAGAGAGAAAAGAAGCCTCCCTGGATGCCCCGGGGGAATCTCAGCCTAGGAGGAGGAGTAGCATGAATGAACAGGCTGGCAGGTCTCTAGGCACAGAGACCTGCCCCTTGGTGTTTCGCTATTTCTGGAGAAAGAAAATAACAGGAGCTACTCATTTTTTTTTTCCAACCCGTTCTACAAGAGTCTCGTGTATCTGTGTGTAGAAAGCTTTCTGGGGCGAAGTCCTAAGCACAGTGTCTAAGGCCAGCAGAACATTCAAAGCACATTTTACAGCAGCTGCATCTGGGTGACTGCATTATTTATGATCTCGGTCATCTTCCCTTAAGATGGGTGTTGGCTTTTTCTTATTGAGCAAGTAAGCCTTTTATCAGCAGGAAAGAAAATGTCCACGCGCTTCGACCTGTTTTCACAGGAAGCTTACCCGTGCCTGCGTAAAAGGTTTGCTGCCTTACACACCCGAAGTGAATGTGTCAAAACTCTGACTCGTGTCTCAAAATTTGTATCTTCACTGTCACTTTACTACATTTACCAACTTTTTCAGGCCGGTAAAGATTAAACTGTCATGTTTGGAGGGTCTGAGTCTCTCTTTTGAAAACACGTTTAAAGGTGGCAAGAATTGGATTCACATCACAACTCTAAAGCTTCGAAGTTGTTCCCCTTTGAAGAATCCCAGCTACCTAGTGAGCGGCTCGCCGTTTTAAGCAATAAACTTGCTCTAAATAAATAAATAAATAAATAAATAATAAATACAGGAAAGCCTGCTTTTCTGCTGTCACAACAAGGGAAGACTGGAGTCAGTGTCCTGGCAGGAGCATGTTAGCCCCTTAGCTCTGGGCAAGCACACAGCACTGAGGCGGTCACAATTCTGAACAGCGAGGCTACCATAATTATGACATCGAGTTGGGATTTTCTATATCATTTGGAATTATTTGTTTATTTATTCTTTTGTTGGTGAATTCTCTGTTGATTTCCCCCCCCCCCGGCTTAAAAATACTTCATATATACATATTTAGAGTATCTTTCGGGGGGAGATGTCTCTTTTTAAGCGTTAATTTTGGAGGAAAAAAAAAGAAACCATTTATTAGAGATTTGAAGAACCCAGACTGTTTCTATGTGGTTCTTAATCACTAAGCGTCAACGAAGTTAATGTTTTCTTTAAAATTTTCTTTCTAATATTAATTTTTTTCCTTATCAAGTCCGTAAAACCGGGCCTTTTACATAGCTAATCTTTTAATTTCGTTTCGTTTTACGGAAAGAAAGCCATCTTCTGGGTCGTAGTGCTGGATGCCCTCGCCCCTTGGACATTCAAAAGGTATTCTCTCCATTTGCTCAGCTGCCCTGAAATCTCCACTCTACCATTTAGAACGCCTGAAATCAAATTCCAAGAATTCTGCTGGAGGCCAGGAGACCGGTCAGCCTCTTCTCAGCTGAATCGGAGGATAAATCAGGGATGGGGCCAGGAGGAGCTGCAGGTGTGCGCTGGGGAGAAGAGAGGTTGAAAAGAAGCCTAGGAACTGTCCTGCAGGCGCTATAGCTTTCTAGCCCCAAGCTCTTTGCGGGTGTGGAGGAGGAGGGGAGGAGTTACACTGCAGGTCTGGAAAAAAGGCCCGAAATCTTTATTTGGGATCTGTAAACCGCAGAACGCAGAGGACAACAGTACTCAGTCTGGGTTCATGCCCAGAGAGGGACGTTTAGCTTTGTTTTTCATTAAAATGCACTCAGTGAAGCAAACAGAACCATCTCTCGTCCTCCGGTGGCCTCCGGTGGCCGTGCCCTGCTCCTTACAAGTCTTTATGCTGCGGGCGTCTCTGTAGGTGGGTCTTGGAGGAGGGGTGCCCCCTGAAAGCTGGCGCTAGGACCTCTGCTCCTGGCACCGCTGCGGGACTGAAGGCTGGAGGCCCTGGGACGCAGCTGAGCTGCTCAGCTCACTCCGGCCCCGAAGCACAGAGCTCATTAACAGGTGGAATCACACCCCGAGAGCCTTAGATCCCGCCTGCCTCCAGAGAAACAAATCCTTGAGGCTCACAACACCATATGGGCTGGGTCAGGGGCTAGCTGTGGACGTGCGCTGCCGGAGGTACTCCCCTCCTCTCCCGCTTGTGCACGTACAGCACTGCCCCAATTCTGCAGCACCCAGCATCGGCACGAGCGCCCGCCTCACCCTGGGGCCGCTTCTCTAACAAGCCTGTTTAGAGTGGCCTAGCGTAGCCAACTCTTGAGCGTAGGTCTTAAAGAACCTGAGTCCTTTCAGACCAGGAAGGCGACCCGTCCGCTCTGCTGCCTGGAAGGCGTGTCCAGCGACAAGGAGACGCCCACGGGGAGTTTCTAAATTTCCCAGGGCGGAATGGAACCGCGCGAACGCGAGCAGGGGAGACCCGACCACAGACTCCCTCAGCATTACCGGTTGGCAGCCAGCCGCGATGCGATATATCCACCCGGAATCTGGGTGATGATGTAGCCCCAGAAGAACGAGCCGTGAATCATCCCCACGGTTTCAGGGTCCCAGTTGAATTTGGCTTTCTATAGGAATAGAGGGAAATCACAAAGAAACAACGGTCAAGACGGGCAGGATAGAGTCAGAGCACACAATTCCCTTTCGGCGGATTGAAAGCCATGCACCTTCAAACACCCAGGGCGTTTTCTGCGATACCGAGGCCAGGAGCCTCATTTTCGTTCCTTGGCAAAATTGCTTCTGACAAGAGGGGCGGGCTCCTTTTTAAAAACGGTGTTGTGAGCCACAATGAAGTAAGGGCCCCCAGGCTTCCTTCGGAGGGGACCTGGTACCTCCTCAGTTAACGCAGGACTGTTAGAAGCCCTGTCTAAAGCATTTGGATTCCCAGAAAACAATAGTGGCTAAGGTCCCTTTGGTTGTTGCAGTAGGACTGCCGTAGTGGGGTGACTCCCAGAATAGAATGCAACCCTCCAGATGTACGCAGGGAAAAGAAGGGGTTGGAAAAGGACAAAAAGGTTTGGGGACAGTCTCCCAGGGAGTTTGGAGAAGTCATGTGGTGGTGGCGGCAAAGTCACCCACCGTTTAAGGTTCTGTTTCAGAGCTGTGCGGATGTCTAGACCTGACTCCACCCAGACTACACTGCTCCACATTACAAGCTGGGCCTCTCAAGAAACCGGAGCCAAATGCCTGCAAGCTACTGTAAAAGTCCGAGCTTTTGCCTTGCCCAGGAAACTGGGAATGCCATTTTTTTTCTTTTCCCCTTGCAATGAAATTTTCCTGGGTATCCTGGGCTCCAGGGGAGGCTCCTCAGAGTGTTCCCAAGTTCTGCAACCAAACCAAGCAGTTTTACTACTTTCTCCAGGAAGATTTCTGTGACTTTCAACTGGCCCTCACCTCCAGGCACCCCCGGGGAATACACACTTTAAGACTAAGGCAGTGGAGACTCTAGTAAAACAGACTCCCCTATCCAGCAGGTCCTGTCCAGGCTGAAGTACCTTCCCAAGGGTGGTTAGTCAAGCCTGATGCACTTATGCGGATTTGATTGTAGGACTTATTGTTTCTCTTACTTTGATAACTAAATATGCTTTCTTGGGGGGGGGGTGATTTGAAGGAAGCCAGGAGAACATTATAATGTTACACCTTTCCAGTAAAAGAAAAATGTTTCTTTTTAGAGTTAGCCTACAGATACTAGCTCTCAGCTGGTCATTCTTTACACAAATGTAGTGAGCTACACACTATTTTTGTGTTGTAAATGAGGGAGGGAAGGCCGGGATCACAGAGAAAAAGGGAGATAACAGCCAGCGTTCTAGTGGACCTTTCTAGAATGGCGGGTCAGATGGAAGGTTTAGGCAGTAAGAAGACCTTCCTTTTTCAGTCATGGAAAGCAGGCCTCAGACAGGTGAGTGGCCAGCGGAGGGAGTCCAATGCCCACCTCCTTGATAACTTTGCCTCCGCGGTGGATGGTGCTGTTGTTGACCATGTCCACAATGGCCACGCCCAGGTTGCAGCGGATGCCAAAGGAGATGCAGAAGCCGAGGCCGCTCATGATGGCTATGATGTAGCGGCGCGGAAGGCCGAAGCAGGTGCAGTCGCACAGGGGAGCCTTCTTCTCAGGCACCTCCAGGGGCTTGCCATCCTCCGTCAGCTCAATGGTCTCCCGGGTGTCTTGCTTCTTCTCCAGCACCCTGCGCGTCAGATTAGGAAGCAAGGACGCCTATGGTTAGGCACCTCCCCCAGGTAGTGTGGGGGAGCAAAGATGTTCTAAGCTCCTGGCTTCAGTTTCCTGGATCCTCAGGAGCTGGGGAGTTGGGCTCTGACCTCTTTCCTGCTGAGGAGTTAGAATGCAGGCAATACAGAGCTTGGGTGCTCTTCAATTCTGTGGAATTCTATGCCCTCCTCCCTAGGCTGCAGTGCCTACATCTTAATGCCCTCAGGCCTAACTCAGTGACGCCCAGCTCCATCACCTTCCTGGTCTCCATTCACCTACAGACCACTTGGACTTAACTTTTGAGGTTGATGTTAAAGCGAGAGGGTTGGGAGAGAAATCCCACCACCCCGCGGGATGCCACCCAGACTCCTATTTGCTTTAATCCAGGCTAATTTGGATCCTTTCAAACAATTCAGGGGCTTGAGAAGGGCCTGGCAGGATCAACGGTAACTGTCCAGGTGCAGTTGCTTGAGGACTACCTCTCTTCCTTCCCCTCACTCCACCCAGGGCACGAAGCCCTCTGGCTACCCTGCCAGACACTTCCCAATCCTTTACCATGGTGTACCCATTTCACCACCCCCTCTTTGCACTCAGGCTCTCTCTCTCTCTCTCTCTCTCTCCCTCTCTCTCTCTCTCTCTCCCTCTCTCTCTCTCTCTCTCTCTCTCTCTCTCTCACACACACACACACACACACACACACCCTGTCCTCTCTCCTCTCCCCTCCCTCTCTTTCTCCTCTTTCCTCTCTCTCCCCCTCTCTCTTCTCTCTCTCCTCTCTTTACTCCAGTTAAAAACAAAGGCCTCTGCAGCATATGTCTGCCACTTCAGCTTCCTTCCTACAACATGAATAATTAATCATTCACAATCTTGCGTCATTACTATCTCAGTTACAACACACTGAAAAATATCTTGGGCCCATTTCCAGACACAGAAAATGAGATTCCAGGATTTACAAAGGGGCGCCCACACTACCATCTGTACCACTAAAGGGAAATCTCATTTTATTTCATAGAATTGGACTCTTCTCAATCAATTCTGGTCCTGGAAGGAGTGGGGAAGGAAAAAAGAATTGGAATGTTAAGTGGCCTTTGTGGGAAGGTGATGTTGTTCTCATACCTACCACATCCATAAAATTTCGATTTTTTTTTTTAAATAACAGGGTAGAAAGTGATAGCTATCTCTCATTGAGACTGGTATTTTTTTAAAAAATATTTGAACAGTCTTCACTTACAATTGGCAAACATTTTCTCAATCCATCTTGCAGTTACTTTCAATCCTGTACCCACCATTAAATGGCACACCATTGCTTACACACACACACACACACACACACACACACACACACACACACACAAAGCCTGTGGAATTTTAACATCAACTCCTGGCATGTATATCTTGGAATATGGCTGCCAAGAAACTTGAAGATATCTTCCAAATTCTATCAAATTCCACTGCAGAATGGGTCATTAAGGTGTCCATGACTAGGCTTCCTGGGTGTTTATCACAGATGTGCAACCCTAGTAGCAGAAACACTGCATTTCTTTCTGCAAAGAAGAAATTGAAGGGATTTGATGTCTTTCGACTTGGTTTTGTACTCCTGCATTTGCAAACTTGGACTCTGCACCTGAATTTCCCACCTCACAGCAGCCTCTGAACAGCTGCAGGACTGCGGTACCTATTGCCGCAGAGCCTCGTGATGGTGTCTACTGAAGCCCACCGGAACCAATCCAATTGAAAAATAGAGATGCATATTGGTCATCATGGTTACAATTCTCATGGATAGCCAGGGCTTCAGTTTCCAAAGGAGAAACGGATCCCTTTCAAAATCCATTTTCCTACTGTGTCTGCTGCCTCAGGTGTTTACCTTATATCATTAACCAAAAAAAAAAAAAAAATAGCATTCATGGAAGATATAAAACATCTTACAGGACCTGAGTTCATGAAGACTACAGTACGCTCACAAGAAGGGCAGCATTTTAATTTTTTCTATTACTTTCAAAGTAATCTTGCAGCCTACAATTCTTTTTGTTCTTAAATTACTGTGACATCTCCCACATAAAAATTATATATATATATACATATACATATATATATATTATATATATATATATAAGAATGCATACATACATAAGGTTTTAGGTTCAAGAGAGAAACACCAATGATAATCTATTGATATATTTTGATCCTGTTTCAGTCAATACAGAATTTCCCATGAGAGAGTCTTCATTATGGTTTTTTTTTTTTTTTTTTTCAGCTGAGATCTGGATTTCTTTTTTGTCATTAGTCATTTTTAAAGGGGTTTGGTTTTAGCTGTTCACTTGCCTGGATCAAAGGAATTTAATTTGGGGGATTTATAAGCAAACAACTGCAGGTGATGAATGAACATTTCAGACTTGCAAAGGAGTATTAAGAGCTGGACTGGAAGACATGAGAATCCCCAAGTAATGACACAAAAATCACACTCACACACACACACACACACACACACACACACACACACGCTCATTTAGTGCCACATTCTTGCATTCATAAGCAGATTTCCAGTGGAGCCTTCCTTGATTCAGCAATGAGCAACAAAAAAGATTTTCCCCCCATCTCTCTAAATAACCAAGCTTTATAGACTTGGCTTTGCAGATTCTGTCATGGTGAGCCCCAGGTGAGAATGGGGTTGCATTCTCTTACCTGTAGATCTGGCCGAGGGATTTTCCAGCAAAATTCTTTATCCCCTCTTTCCCGGGGGCCAAAATCCTTTGCTTTACCGACTCCATTCTTATAAAGACTGGTGTCCAACCTTGCCAGATTTAAATTGTGATGGCTATGAAAGGCGAGTTCTGCGCATAGTCTTAGTCGGTTAAGGTAGAGCCTTTTCTTCTCTGCAAACAGAGGTGAGCTTTCCAGCAAGCCTGTGAATTGGAGAGGGGAGAGAGAGCAAGAAAGAGTGTCCAAGAGAACAGCTGCATGCAGCCCACGGGTTTCCTAATAGGAGAACTGGTACACGGAGTCACAAAGTCTCATTGGAAGGGGAGGATCCGGTGGCCGGGAGGGCGCGCGCAGTGCCGTGGTATTTGGGCGGGTGCTGACGAGTCCCCCGTTCTGGAAGTCAGCTCACTGAAAAACAACGTTAATTCCCGGTTTTGAAGGCTTATTGCAATCAAATCCGCTGGCTATTAATCAGAGGGACCAGAAACGTCATCGAACCCTTGTGTTAGGGAAAAAGCGAAAGAACCCTACTGTCTAAAGCGGTGACTTTGCTGAGCAGAGCTCATAGCTCTCAGAACCCTGGGGAGCCTCCCAGACCTCAGGTGAGCGATGCTGCTGTTAGCTTCTTGCCTTAGCGTGGTCTCCTCCCATCGCGCTGGCGTAACTGTGCTCTGCCGCAGAGTGGCAGAGTCGAATTAAGGCTGAGGTTAGCTGCTTTTTGTGAACGTGCGTGAGTAACAGACACACGGCTGTGATTTAGGTAGCATCAGGGGAGGCTTTCCAAAAACGCTGACCGCGCCCTTAGTGCGCGCGTCGCAGCTGAGCATTTCAGCACCACGGACAGAGGGAGTTCAGGAACCCAGAACGCTGCTTTTGGCTAGCCAGCTCGCCAACTTCCCAGGGGAGCTGGGCGGATCGCCCTGACCAAGGGCCTTTCTAGGGCTCTTCAGGAACGGATGCTATGGAAACCAAGTGGGGAGATGTCATCGTCTGCAGAGTTCTCAGGAGGAAGGCTGCATTTGGCTATGTAAGGGAGGAGGGCTCTATTAAGCATCGACAAGTTACTCTGCTTTGCCAGCTTGTCCATACCAGCTCTGACAGCCTAGCGGGGGAAGCAACACTCCAGAAGCTTCCAGCAGGGTGGTACACAGGTGAACACCTGGTCTCCCTTGGATAAAAAAGCATATGTTTATGGGATGTATAATAATATTGCTTGTGTGTTTGATTCCACCCCTAAGACGAACAAGAAAGGGTGTAGAGAGAAAGAGATGGAGGGGACAAGGAAGATGTGGGAAAGAGGAGGAGGGAAAACAGAAGGAAAGTGACAGCTGTATTCTTAGAGCACTGTGTTAAGTAAAAGGCAGGCACTTTGATATGAACTCCTCAGAATTCTGAGCTGTTTTAAACTAACTAATACTCAGCACACTACTGAATTATCTCCATACAGGTAAAATTTACGCCCATACTTTATACTCGTCAGCAAATACTAATTGATAATGTTTTAAAATTTATTTCAATATACTTGCACTCCATTGAAATCTCATTCCCCCCCTTTATGATACCTTCTCCCAAGCGGGAGGTCATTTTTACCGTTGAGGTTTTGTTTTGAGAGATGGTCACACAAGGTTTTCCATCTTGGTTTGCATGTATAACATCAGTGAGCTTACTTCATTAAGCAAAACAATTAAATAGTGTTGAATTAATGTGAATGGTTAATGCTGTTCACACAGATTATAACCCTCTTAGATGCAGTTCAGGCAAGTGCTTATGAAACAGACTGGCCTTGAGCTACATCCCCAAGGTCAAATGTCCGATGCTATTTAAACCAACAGGAGGAGTGGGTTTTAAATAGGGACTATTGAATTACATCCCAGAGGTATAGTTAGTTATACATGCAGAACCACAGAGGAATATTCTCTGTCCATTTCAAATGATATGTGGAAAATGTATTTTCCAAAGACGGAGATGGAAAAAATCACAAGTAGCTAAAACACTTGTGCAATTCTTAAATACAATGCTGCTATAAAATTGTATTTCACTAGGAAGTATGGTTGAGAAAGGATACCAGTCTCATATCTCTGTTAATTTGGTACTTATGCATCAAGAGAATGTATATTAAATATATATTTCAAAAACTGTAGTCATCTTTAAAAAATATCCCTGGAAAGCCACAAAATGCTCTGTACTTCCATAGGAGACTGGGTATAAAGAAAAAAAAATCTCTTATCAAATTGTCTCATCACAAACAAAATTTCATGTCCCCCGGGACTTGTTTCATATGGTCATTTTTCAAAATACAGGTGTCACAAATCTTTAGCTACTGAAGTTACTGAAATTAATTCATTTAGGACTATCCACAATGTTCTTATTTATGAATGATGGATGTTACATTAAATATCTGTGAGGCTGAGATGACCATGCAAAAGTGATTGTCCTAAGAATTTCTTTTTAAATTCCACCTCAGTTGACTAGAAGTCAAAACCACCAAAAACCAAGATGGCTGCATCATTCATATAAATCCCAAGCAATAGTACTCTGGCATGAAGATATTGCTTCTAGAATAAATAATTGCATTCATTGGCATTGAGAAATGTTATCTAGTTTTTCCACCCTTTCCCAGAAATGGTCTGAGTGTCTGAATTGAAATAGGAGCTAATATTGATTTACTTGTTCTAAAGAACATTTGTTGAGAGCAGAGAATTGCACTAGGCCTGGAAACATCTCTTTAAAGATCTCACAAACAATGTGAGCTGATACACATAAATTTCATTAGAAATAATTAGGGATAATATTAGACACAATAAAAAAACAGTCTCTGAGTAGAGGTGTACGGGAAGCATTTTAGGAAGCAACACATCCTTGCTTGTGTTAATATTTTAAAAGAAATTTAAACCTGGAAAATGATGACAGCCTACAGACCAGGGAAACTGTACAAAGAGAGCTGGCAATACTTGGAGAATGTTCCCATCAGTGGAGAGATAAAGCATAGTTATAAATAAGAGGAAGTACTGAACACTGAAAACTATAAGAATTGGTGCTCACATGAATAGCTGGTCCCACCATAGCACATCTGTTTACCAACTCAACAGATGTTCTTCAGCCTTTTTATATGTTGCAAAATCCCAAACACTGACCATGAACTCATTGGACCCTAGTGAATTCATTAGATTCATCTTTAGGAAAATATATGGTAATACTTATGAATATAGTTTAAAAGAATTCATTTCTATGGGCACTCTCCTTGTCCCTGTGAATAAATAGCCCATCTAATTGTAACCATCTCCTCTATTCCACCGTTAGCTTTCCCTCAGAGAGCACGCCCCACTGTCCCTACAGGGGTTCATTCATTTCACTCAGGTGCGTAACAGATTACAGTTTATGAATGGTTCACACTCAGGCGACCTCATTCATCCCTGGCAATTTTCTGAACTGGGATGCTTTTCACTTCCATTTTCTAGAGGAGGAGAATGAGGTCTACAAATGCAGTAAACCATGGACCTGTTAATGAAGGCTGGAATACTCTCCCATCCTCAGAGACCCTGTTAAAATAAAGAATGAACAATTCAAGAGGTCCAGGTGGAGTCCCAGATGAGTCAAGTTTCTAAGGCACACCTCTCTCTGGATCACACTTTGAACACCAGCAGCCTGGAGAATGCACCCGAGAGCAGCTGGTGTGGGGTTAGCTCAGATTGTACTGCTGTCATAAGAGGCTCACTGACCCTATGTGAATAAATGTTCATTTTCTCATTGATACAAGGAAAGGTTTACAGTAGGTTGTCTCTGTCATGTCTTCCTTTTGCAAAAATCACAGCGTCCATCTTTTTTATTGATGAGAATTGTTTGTTTTATTCCCTCCCCCCCTGTACTAACATGTTTCAATATTCAATAATGTTAATAATAAAATATGGAGAGGGTACCCAAAACTAAACAAACAAACACCGTTAAAAGCAGGTTTCTTTTTGAAAACTCTATCTTCTTATATAGACTTATTGCTTGTCTTTGACTAGATAGGCATTTCATAAGTGACTGTTCAAATAACAGTATGGACGGATACCTTGATATTTACATAAGGGATTACCCACAGCAATGAGGCAGGTTTACATTTGTTTATGTGAGGATATGTGAGGGAATATTTGGAAGGGTTATTTAAATGTCTTGCAAACGTTGCCCTCTGGTGGAAGGATAGGTTACCATGTTAAAAACAATTGTAACCCTTAATTATGTAATTTACACTAATGGCTCTTTTTTTTTCCCCTTTTTCTTTTCCTTTCCTTTTTTTTTCTTCCTTTCTTACCCCCTTTTCTATTCACATTTGTTAAAATTAAATCTACAACTAAAAGTATAGAGTCTCTCTTGTGGGCAATGTGTTTGCAACTGTCACACTGATTACTAAATTTCTGCTATAGATTTGTTGATTGCTTGAGCATTTCTTACCTGAACACAAAGCAAATTTCACTGTGCTGAGGTTTGGAAATGCCAGCTAGCCTTACACAGGGGGATGGTTTAAAATGTGACTGCACAATGGATTATGGGTAACATTAGACACAATAAAAAAAAGCTGTGCTTCCTTCCATATCACTGCTACACATTTATACGTGTATGTGTGCAATTATATAAAATATATGTATATAATACACATGTATATAATTAGATATAATATATAATGTACATATAAGTATATTACATATATCATATGCATCGTGCTATTGAAAGTCATACATAAATTGTTCCTAGGGGTGTTGTGATTAGAAGTCAAAATTATCGAGTCTCAAAGTGTCTCAATGGGACACTTTGTTTGTTGTCGTTGCTTTGTTGTGGAATTGAGCTCTAGTTTGGCTTCACTCTTTGCTTGGTCATGGTAAACTCATGAGCTCAGTGATAAAAGCACAAAGTGCATATCCTCAAAGAGAGAGAGATATATTCCAGTGCTCTCTGACAGACCAGCTTTGTTTGCCTCTGGATGCTTAAGTAAATGCTCACTGTAATAACCCCACGACTTTCGGGTTTAGACCAAGTAAGCTCCAGGATTCAGCTTGACTCTTTTCTTATCAAGGGTTTTTAAGTGGACAGTTTTTAGTTCAGCTTTATTTAATTTCACTCTGCAGCGTTATCCTCAGAGACATTTTAAATAAGTTATCATTATACAATTTTTTTTCTTAAGTGGCAGAAATAGAAGAAATAGTTCGTTTTGCGTTCCATGTGCAGAGCACAACTATGCCGTTGTGTTAAGTGACCTAATATAAAATTTCTATGTCATCTGCCTAAATAAAAGTATGTAAGCAGGAATGTTAAATAAATGTACGTTCCTGGGGCTGGGGAGATAGCTCAATGGACTTCTTGCCGTTCTTCCAGAGGACCAGAGTTCAGTTCCTGGCACCTACATTAAGGAGCTGACAAGCAACCACCTGTAATTCCATTTCCAGGAGATCTGACGCCATCTCCTGGCCTCAGCAGACATCTGCATGCACATGGATATATGCACACAGAATCAAACATGTACAGAAGTAAAAATAATTCTTTAAAAATATGTATTCTTACCTTGCTATATATTTTAACTATGAAAAATGTATTCATACAACCATGTGCAAGACATATCCTTTTGTACGACCCCAATCTGTATTCATTAAAAAGAATTAGACATCTTATTCTTTCTATACTCGAGAGGAAGCCAACTTACTCCAGAGTTATATCCCTGGACCAGAAGTATCCCATGTTTTAAAGTAAACAGAAACCAGCATCAGAGATAATAAGAACAGCCGTTATATCCCATGGCAGAAAAGAGCTTTCGGGTTTGAATCGGTCAGTCGTCTTCTGCACAGAGTGGTGGCAAATTCCAAGAGAAGTTTGAAACTATTGGTCCCTTTGAAACCCTAAGAAATAATTCCTAAGAGAAAAGGGTATGGTCACATAAAGACTGACTTGTGGAAAGTACGATTTAAAAAGAGGTACAAACTATATAAATATAAAAACAAACACGTTCCCATTAT